AAAGGTGGATCTAATGCAACAGAGAGAGAAAAAGAGAGAAAAGAGAGTCTGTGGACACAGCCAGAGACTTTAACACAAAATATAGTTATAAAAGAAAATAAAACAATCAGTAATTTACATAGATCATGTGATAGCATGCTATGCTAATGTGAGTATTTTTAGCCAAATGCTAACACTTCTTTGACACGTCTTTATCTTCTCCCTTCAAAGGCGTAGTGGGATCTCAAACAGTCAGGTTTGATCCCCCAAAGAGGAAAATCCTGCCTTTCGAACCCAACAGAGGACCAACGGGAGCCTTCAGCCGTACGCCCATCTGGGAGAGGAATCCATTCAAAGATCTTTGTAACTGCCAAAGTCGTCTATAAAGGTCTTTTATGTTTTTCAGCGAGAGTGTCTGGGGGACGATCTGCTAAAGCTTGTCTGTAAATATGGGCTTCTAGACAGAGTATGTAGTAACAAATTGAGCCTCTAGGGGGCAGTGCCACTTTTGATGGGAGATGAGCATAGACTGTAGGCAAATAAGAAAAAGGGAACGGTTCTATGAGAGAACATGTCGCCGGTGAGACGCAAGTCCAGGAAGAACGGAATAAGGTAGAAACACATTTTTTTTCCTGATGAAAGAAGAGAGTCTACTCTTTCTTTTGGTGTGTTCGGTGTTTACATAGTCATAGCACAAACTATTCTGTGGCTCTGGAAAAATCAGTCAAAATGCTCCAAAAACTCTGGCAGTATGGGACTCTGTTCTGAAAATGGCTGGCAGTCAATGAGTTAAATTATTCCTTCTGAAAATATATTGAAATATATTCATGGCGTAATTTAAAAATGTATTCAAAACTGAAATGTGGGGTTAATAGTTTACGGAGGACTGTCCTTCCATAAGCCACCTAAAGCTGCACACTCAGAGTTTTTATCTCCAATTTAACACTGGCATCAGTCCAGTTCTTCAGGTTAAAACAAAACTTGAAACAGCGTTTTGGACCAAATTGTGAGCTGCCCACTCACCCAGTTTTTGTTGTTGTAGTCTTTATGTACCATGTTGAGCTGTGATTGTGGAGAAAATGCAGTTTTATTTGCCTTAAAAATGGAAAACCAAGCAAGAAAGGGAGTCATGGGCTTTTTAAAGGTTTGATATGCACAGAACCAAATAGCTGCTGGATAATGTCACCATCAAATGACTTAAATACCAGCTCATCAGGCCAGTTGGACACGGAAGGGGAAAATAACCAAGAACAAATAAGTTAACAATAAAGAAACAAAATTAAGACAATGTATTAAACAGCTAAATTAAATTAATCTAACGTAACACTATGAAATCAGGCAACTTAAAACAAAGAAAATAGAAAATAAGTCAGAAAATTAACTAAATTCACAGATGATCCCCCCCCGCCATGTGCAGCTGTTTGGTACGGTCCTGTGTTTCAGAGCCCAGAGCTAAACGATAGGAAACATAAAATAACCAAATTAAACACTTTTGTTATAGTTCATAAACATTTTTAGCGTGTTTTGGCATTTTTTTTAGATGAAAATTAAATTTTTAAATGAATTTATTTACATTTGAGCGGTTTTTCTGTGCACTTCTGGTCTGTAATGCTGAGTCATGCTGGCCGCCATTTTGTTCTTGTGGCCATTTTTTTATGTGAATGTTTCCGTTCATTTCATGTAAATGTTTACAGTTGGACATCGACATGAATTTATGATTCCTGCTTCTCCATTTGTGTACGTAGTGTGTTACAAAAACCCTTAAGATGGGAATTTGACTCATTCCTTGTGTTCTTTTTCGTTCATTGTTGTAAGTGGTTCAGGACTCAGGACTTTACTGAAAAGATGCAGATAAATCTTTTAAAATGTGTCTCTCTTTTGTCCCAAACCTGTATGTAAATCGCATGACTGAGAAACAAGAGCCACAATAAATAAGAAGAAATTACACTTGTATGACTCTGGTATTTATTAGAACAATATCTGAATAAGGAAAGTCATATATTCTTTATATGATGCACAATTAAAAACTAAATTGTGCATCATATATTTATGAAGTAAGTAAATTAACCAAATGAGCTAAGCTGCTGAGAAGAAAACGTATCTACACATTAATTAGATGAGAAAAGGGAAAGGAACACACCAGCAATAAAAACATCAAACAATTCAGAAAGAAGACACAAATAAAACTAACTAAAATTATGCCAATTGTACGGAATTAAGCAGAAGGAAAAAATCCATAAGAAAATGAAATATTGACATTGAATTAAATGGACAAAGTCTCCTCTATGAGGGAAATTGCATCACAGTTCATCTGAAAAATGGAAGAAATCCACTGTCAGAGCAAAGGTTAGATAACCTAAGATGATGAAGAAGAAAACCACAGTTTGAACCCTAAACCGAGTAAAAAAAAGGAAATAAGCAGTTGTTTCCAAACTTTTTCCAAATAATTTCCAAACTTTTTCCAAATTGTCTCAGAATTGTCTCCAAGTTTTTCCCAACTTGTTTCCAAATTGTCTCCAAACTGTGTTCAAACATTTTCAAACATTTGCCTAAGAATAAGAATCTGACCTCTGGTGGTTTTAAATCACAGCAGAATTCAGTGTTGCGGCGCCACCTGGAGGTGAAGTTTAAAGCTGTTATAGTTGTTTGTTGGAATGATTTATTTACTATATGCAAATGACAGGTATTCAGAATGATTATTCTTTATTTAAAAAATAATTTAAAAAAGAAAATACATTTTTTATATTGTGTTTTTTGTATATAGATACAAGTACATATTAGCAAATGTTAAACTTAAAACGTATTATAGATCAAGTATATACTGTAATCTGTATATATACAGTATGTAACAGATATATACATATATATACACATATGTAAATGAAATAAAATGAAAGCCTGATCAATCTGGTGACCAAAGGTGACAAAGAAATGAGTTTCGGTCTGTGTTTTTAAATGGTCTGTAGCATTTTCTGCCCTTTTTGTCACAAACCGGAATTAGTTTGAAGAAGAACACAAATAGGGGAAATAAATGGAACAGCAAAGCATCGTATTTACAGTAAATAAAAGTTCTGGTCCTGTCTACCTGTCTATAGAGGGTTTATAACCGTAACCAGCCCAAGTTAGGCCTCTATCCCTGGTTCTAGTGGTTAGGATTCTTCTTTTTATAACCTTTTAAAGCATGGACCACAAAGAAAACAAAACAGGAAATTACTTTTTTTTGTTTGAATTCCTTATTTGGCCTTTAAACAAAATATGTAAAAAGAAAAAACAGAAATACATTTTTAATATTAATAATTTATTACTATGCGATAAGTCAAGATTATTTTTTGTGTAGTCTTCTGTCCCCTGTTATCAGGTGTATCTGATTGTGTACAATAGGATTTTGAGCAAAGTTTTTACCATCAAATTATGCAAAAGGTGTCAGATGCAAAACATTTCAGAAACCATATGAATCAGATATGACATTTTTGGCTTTACAGGGTTAACTTACTGCCAGCAAATGTTAAGGTTTTCATCATTTTCAAAGGGCAAATTAACTAAAAACAAACTAACACACACCTTAACCAAGAAAATTTTTTTTTTATATAAAATTTTTGTGTTACATAAAAAATGAACAAATAGAAATGTTTATTATCAGAATCAGAATCAGAAATACTTTAATAATCCCAGAGGGAAATAATTTTTGTTACTCACTCCATACATAAAACAAGGGCAAATACGTAAATACATGTTAAAAGAAATATGTGTACCAGAACTCTGGTAAATATATATGATCCAGGTAACGTTTACCCTTAACCTTTGGGTGGAACAATTGCTGCTAAAAATGGTTCCAGCTACACCAAAATTGCAAAACGATCAAAATCCCAGTCAGGGTCGGTGTGACTGGAGCCTTTAACACTTTAAAATCCTGCTATAAAAAGGGCTTTTCCTATTTAAATTGATTGGCTGGTGACTAACTCCCCAGATGGAATAAGTGGGTTTGTGATGACCACATGAGGGCAGCATCAGACCTTCAAAACCAACATCTTTAAGTCTGATGTCAAATAATAATAATTTTTATTATGTAAAATGTATTATGTATGATTTTTTTTGTGGTTTGGCTGCTACCTAGGCCAGGTCTCTCTTGAAAAAGAGATTCCGAATCTCAATGAGACTTCCTGGTTAAATAAAGGTTGGATAAAAAAAGAAAAGATATTCCAAAAATTAAAAGTGTTTTTGCTTGGTTACCAAACAATGTATGATACTTGATATGATTTAAAAATAATATAAAAAGAAATAGAATATAATTAGAAAAATAAACAATATGATTTGAAGGAAAAAAAAGAATAACGAATCACTAAGAAAGTAGATATGTTCAAAATGTACACGAAAAATAAAAATAAATCAAGAAATAAATCATTTAGAAATGAGCAGATCAATATAATAAGAAAGAAAATAGTACAATAAATTGATTAATAAATAAAGGAATAAAAATTAAGTAATCGCAAAGAAAACAATTAAAACAATTATTCAAAAACAAGAAAAACAAAAAAACAAAATAGATTATTTTAATAATGAGTATAATAATACATTGATAATATTTACATCATGATTTTAAATTGATATAAATAAAATAAAGAGAGAAATCACTGAAAATATAAACAGGTCAACACAATGACAAGGAAATCCATAAAAAATAAACAGAGGAATTACTAATCAAATTAGTTTAAAATTATTCAAACATATCAATACAATTTTATTGAAAATAATTTTAAAAGCATAAACAAAAGAATAAAAACTCATTGACGTTTAAAATCTAAATAAATTATTTAAAATGGTCAATAAATAAAATAATGAAGTA